AAACATTTGACTATTTTTTACCACTGAGCACCACTTTGACTGGGCACCTTGATCCTAAGGTCAGGGAGATACTTGCCGACTTTGGGGTGACTGTGTTAAAGGTCTGTTATTGTTACTGAGAACAAGAATTTAAGCTCCGAACCGTAACATGAATTTCGATTCATCAGTGAGCATATATTGTTTAGGCACATTACGCCTGAGAGGAAGAAAGGCCTCTTTGGCTCTCAAGTTACTGTTTCAGAGGTCAGAATCATCAATTAAAACTAGAATTTTGGTTTGCTAATAGTAACATGAGTGTCCATGGGTTTCGAGACAAAACGGCCCAAACCAGAACGGTCCCATCCTGTGACCAAAATGACCTAACTAAAACAGCCCCACCCTGTGACCAAAAGTATAACCAAAATAAAGTTATATGATGATAATGGAACCATAGCTAGAACTAACCTAACCTAACCTAACCTAAACTGAGCATGATAGCAGCCATGTTGACAGTCTGAGTTGGCCGGGTAACTAACCAGAAGTGGCAACTGTCAAATGTAAACGCTGTAAACATTGGACCAGAGGGTGGGGCCGTTTTGGTTACAGTGAGGCCGTTCTGGTTTGGGCCATTTTCTCCTACTACCGTGTCCATGAACCCTTGGAAAACGAAATTCTTTTTTGTTTAAGGTTACTGAGGTCAAAAGTTAACATCTTAAGAATTCTAGTATCTATTTCTACACTAGGTTTCATACAACGACAAAATATGATACACAATTGAATAGAATTTCACTTCATGCCTGATAACATCACTTTCCAGGGTTCCGTTCATCATGATACTTCAATATTATTTTAATCTTGGGAAAGGAAGGGTCCTATTTTCTGGTCACAAGTCAAGGGTACTTTTGTTATGTTGTCACACCATAACTCTACTCCCAAGCACAAGTCCATAATGAAGGTGTATTATGTAGTTGTTGGCACTCGTCATCCTACGTATAAATATGTAATGTCAAAATCTGAAATTATTACATACACACGTATACTCTCATCCTCAGCACTACAGGTTTTGTACACAGCGTCGTTATTGCTCTAGATATCCTCAGGGTGTTGTATTTATCAATGTTCTTCACGACTCTGCTGGTAGGCAACACTATTACACCTACAAAAAATGCTAAAAACAGTTTGCAGATAAATATTTTACTTCCATCTGTAAACATTACCCAAAAGAAATTTAAACTGAACTACACTATCTCTGTTTATATAACTGATTAATTCGAAGAAGAATAAATTAAATTTGGATTCTTAAAAGGTAACAATGGTACTATATTTAAAGATAGGAAAAACTAGCCCCTCAGTTATCAGGTTGAATTAGTACCGTGAAGGTCGGTACTCGCTCTGAAGTTTAACAATCAGGTTTTACCAGTGTCAGTGACCACCACGAGACGACCTGATGTGACCTGGGAGTCATCCATACTGTTCCTGGTTGGGGGGGGGGTGTGGCCACTCGCCTTGGTGCACCAGACACATCACCCCACCAGTATCTGGACCAGAACTATCAGCAAGATCAAGTTAATGGGAGGTAAACATTTGTTGTGTGGTCAGGTGCGTAGTGTCTGCCGCCGCTATTGCCTGGAGAAGACAGGACTTAGGATGTATTATTCAGTTTTATTTAATTGACGAAAGGAATATTATATGACGTATGTGATAAAGCTCGAAAATTATATAAATAACGTTTTTACTTTGTAACTTTGCATAAGAAACTTACTAGTTTTGAAGTTATCAGTTGCTTAGTAAGTAAATCGAAGTTATAATTTCGATGTCTCTTGAGTCATTTGTCTCAATACAGGACAACACTTATTTTAGAAGACACGAATACAGTATTAAGACTTTAAAAAGGTATCAAACGTTAATCCATTCTTACGATGTTTTCACAATACATAATGTACAAAGTTTCTTGCCGACAAAGAAAGTTGTACAAAACATTGCATTAATTTTCAGTTTACTCTCCGCATCCTCGTCTTCTCGCACTTGAGGAGGGCAAGGTACGTTGTATATTGTAAACAGCTGTTTAGTCCTTGAAGGAAGGTACACTAAATTTTCGAACACCTTGTATTTGACGTGGAAAGCTGGCCCTCGAAACTTAATCTGCCTAAAGTTCATCACAGGTATCTTTCAGCAGCCGCACTAGATAGATACATTAATAGATATACTGTATATCCAGTAAAATCGTTATAGAAGTTCATTTTGATTAAGTAGCACAAAAACTGTACACGTATACAATGTACGTAGACTAACACTTGAGCACATCCACCATTGTTACTTCATCACTCAGTGGACAAAAACTTGTCATGAAGACTAGGTTTATGGCCAGGAGTTTATAATCACAATTTTATATACGTACCAGCATGATGTACAGAGGCTGCCTGAGTGTGAGGAGGGGGGTGGGTGACCACCTGCACAATGAACCACTGAGAAGGATCATAGGTAACTTAACTTTACGCAACAGTCTTAACTGAACGGAGTATCAGGGCGTAAGAAAAATAATTTTTCGTTAAAATCAAGACGGAGGACATAAAATACTTACTTTAGTTTTTTCTTACAAGGATACACCGCGGCCAGTGGTTCTCTCCCCGTCCTCCTTCTGCAGCAGTTAGTGACGTATGAAGGAAAAACACAAGTGTGGAAAATAACTTGAGAGGTTATTTGTATCATTATCAACAATTCCCTTGAGCTTAGTTTTGTACTTGTTCGAGATTAATAGTCTTGTGAGGTTACTGTAATAAAAAGCAAGGACGATGTTGACAGTTTTTGAAGACAACATTCCTTGTAACCTAACCCAACTTGATCATTTAACTAAGAGGGTAAAAGTCTCATAAAACAGACGATCGTCCACGTGGGATGACACTTTATTTTAGAGTATTTGTCAAACGTGGATGTGCGACGACCACTAGTGACCACTTCCATACTAACGACCACTAGTGATCACTTTCATAATAACGACCACTTGTGACCACTTCCGTATTAACGGCCATTAGTGACCACTTCCATACTAACGACCACTAAGGACCACTTCCATAATAACAACCACTATTGATGACTCCCTGGTCGCTGTTTAGGGATCCCCAATCCCTATAACTTCGACTAACGACCCCTGTACTGGCAACCCGAACAAGAGCGACCACCAATACTTTCGACATTCATTATGCACCATAACAAATGACCTCTGTGACTCTCCAAGACAACAAGAAAGTGAGAGTGTATCTCTGGCCTGCGGGCGTGGGGGTGGTCGTGCGGCTGTGGGTGTGCAGGCGGGCGCGCGTCTGGCCTGCGGTCACTCCTCCAGTGGCCCCGTTTTCTGTTCGTTGGATGAACAATTTGGCGGGAAAACTCTTGTGGTCACAACGATCAACTGGTAAAAATTCCTGGAGGGGACTTGAGTGTCACTTTCACTTGCTATTTTCCGTGCTGTGTAACAACGCTGGAAAGCTATTTAGTGAGTGAAACTGCCTTCAAGATTACTACGTCCTGAGCAAATAAATTTGGACTTGTGTGGCAATCAATCTTGGGCACTGCCTTATAGTTTCCAACGTAGAGTGGATAACTTGTCTTTATGTCGTCGTAGTGTATGTGTGTCACGTGATATGTGCTTTAAGAGTAGATTACGGTGACCTCGACCAACTTGTTCTCGGCTTGTAAGTGGCCAGTTAACTTCCCCGTGTAACTGACCACCCCATTCACCCAACCTCGCCCTGGGCATGTTTCACAATGGTATTATTTTCAACTGTGAAATTACAAAGAATCATCTTCACTGCGGAAGACAATATTACCTTGAATCCCTTCAATAACACAAATGTTGCTTTGTTGTGGGACTACTATTACTACATTCGGCTACCTTATTAGTAACATTATTATTAAACTATTATTGTCTTCCTCAAAGGTGGGGGACATTTTTTTTTCTTCTGTTTTTTCGTTCTATATCTCATTCAGCCTGCAAATGTTTAACATTTAATCGTCACAAACTTCTGTGTGAGTAAGTAAATAAGAAAGTTAATCTTGTAGATTATACAGTATGTGCGAGATGATTCCGTTCTCTTCTAATGCATTACCGAGCTTTAATAACTAAAATTCTTTACGTGTGTAATATTGCTGATTACTAAATACACTAGTTGTCAACAATTAAAAACTAAATCAGGTGAAAACGTGTGTCAAAACTCTTACCCGTCTATCATTGGCCGCCTGGGTCAACACACATTCCAGGAGGTGGTATGTGATCATCATTACTCACTGGCTGAGGTCGCTACCCTATAATTTACACCTCTATAATCCACGCCTCCAGTCCGCATTGACCTTTTGATATAATTTCCGAAGGCTTCACTGAATCACCCTCAACCTTACTACCATGTTACATTAAGGTTCGACTTTGTTTGGCTGACTTGTCCGGATTTTTCGATGCATGTGTGTAGACTGACGAGATGAGGCAGTCTCAGGCTATATAGACAGTGTCATTGCCTCCTCCCGTCATCAGCGAATGGGGGGGGGGGGAGGTGTATGGAAGAAACAACAGGTCGTAGTTCACATGATTAAGCTCGGGAAACACAGGTAAAATGTGTGGTGTAATTACTCGCACGTTAGGAGTAATATATATAATTTTTTTAATCCTGTTTTACATTCTATTATTCTTCAGTTTTACTGAATTTTTTTACTAATGTATTTTTCTTGTGGTAATTCGAATTTCTAGAGCGGAAGGCAGTGTTTGTACTTGTTTCAGGAAAATGATGCACCGTACTATGGTGATATCCTTTTAACCCAGTGTACCACAATGTTGCTATACTGTATAGTGTCAAGATCCGCCTCGCCACACACACACACACACACACATACACACTCACACTCTCTCTAAGACCCGCCTCACCACACACACACTAAACGCCTCATAACACTAGGTCATCACACGTCACGCAAGCCTCAATGCGGTCATTCCGTCATGGCAACCATCTGTAAAATCACAAGAAATTTGTTTTTACCTTCCATCTTTTAAGATATCAATACACGCCTCTTCTTAGCTTCATGTGTGTCATCTCTCGCTGCTGTAGACAGAGGCGTTGCTTAAGATCACTCCACAAAGAATAATGTCAGTACGTCCACCTTGTGCTGATGAGGGTTTCTTATATATGGTATCACCAGTTCTTACACTATAAACAAAGATTAGCCTTAACAAAGGTGATACTAATGGTATACGAGAATATTTCATTCACCAGAAGTTCCACTGCTGAGGGAAGTTTTTCATAATATATTTTTATTATCAACATTAAAATTCATATTTAATAATTATAATACCCGCCATGTCTTAAAGAAATCATTTTTTCAGTTTGAGACAAGTTTGTCAAAATGAGGTATTGTTTTATCGTATATAAGTTTTTCTTTTTATGATATCACTTAGCGTTGTTGAATAACCACTTGACTAAGGTGATGCACCTGAACTGAGCGAGCAACTTGTACTGTACACCGCTGCTCGTGCGTCCAGTTACCACCGTCTCCAGTCGCACACTGCCGCCGCTCCACCATCTCCTACAGACCTACAGTACACCCAACCACGACCCCCAGGACTCGCCTTCCAGGAGATGCGATGGTGGTGTACAGCTAAAGATGACTGGCTATTATGAGAGGAAGGGAAGCGCGTCGTGCTGGAGAAACAGAGGTGTAAGAGTGAGAGTTGTTGAGGAGAGATGGAAGCAGTGTGTGTGTGTCGAGGAGGAATTAACAAAACGTTTACATTGTATTTTAGACATCCATCAAGGCAGGTCACGACCGCAACCTCCAGAGTCTCCTGGATGATTAAACAACAGCTGATGACGTTGGTGGTGATTAACTGTGATAATCATACCTGGGACTAACGCTGAATCCCAAGACCATGTAACAACGAAAGAAAAACACCTTAGGTGTTACGGCTGTGTAGAACTCGTTATCAATTTAAAAAATTACTCCACACCCCCGAAAACAAAGGCGCTGGCCATAACCTGTAGGAGATAATGTATTATGGAAGAGTAAGATAAGAATTATAAGAATTCCTAAAGATGCTGAGAAGTTACCAGCAAGAGATTATAAGTGGCTGCGAAGAATGCGAGTAGCCCAGGAAGAACATCATGTTTATGGGACAGTGTAAGTGTGTGCGCGCGAGTTTAGAATACCGCGCCTGACAACAGTGACAGCAACGTGGATTGTGCATCAAGGAGACAGATTTTCCATCAAGCCGACAACTTTGAAGCCTCCGATTTATGTGTCTTCTTAGGGCATGTGGAGGAAGAAGACAGTTAGTTTAGGAGCCATATCACGTGCGTTCCAGGATACAAAATTCCTGAGTGCACGTCAAGACACAACATCTACTACGGGCTGGTGGCGGTGGTCTCGACCATATAAAAGCCAAGACGTGTGCTAGAAAACAATACTTACTTATTCAAAGTTTAGTTTAAGGAAGACGTCTTGAGATATTACACGCCCCAGAACGTATGTATCCCCAAAATGTACACCCAAGGCCACACAGAACTCGAGCGTACACACACTCACAGAGCAGACGTCCCAGAAAGCCGACGTCCCTGAGAGGCTGAACTAACGGAGACGATACGTGACTGCCTCCGGCAAGTCATCAGGCGAAGGCAGTAAGCATCACCACCATCATTATAACCACACTCGCCATTATCATCATCACAAGAACCAGTTACCGTCACTATTATTACATCTTGTATCTTAGGTACCACCAGCACTACCATTATTACCACCACCTGCACTACAGTATTCACCACCACCACAGTATTCATCCCCACCGTCACCACCACTACCACCTGCACCACAGTATTATCCCCACCGTCTCCACCACCACCACAGTATTTATCCCCACCGTCACCACCACCTGCACCACAGTATTTATCCCCACCGTCACCACCTGCACCACAGTATTTATCCCCACCGTCACCACCTGCACCACAGTATTTATCCCCACCGTCACCACCACCACCTGCACCACAGTATTCATCCCCACCGTCACCACCTGCACCACAGTATTTATCCCCACCGTCACCACCACCACCTGCACCACAGTATTTATCCCCACCGTCACCACCACCTGCACCACAATATTCATCCCCGCCATCACCACTTTCACCATCACTACAGTCACCATCACCACCGTCACCACCACTCCCACCATCAGTGAAAGGGTAGACGACCAGAGAGGAGTTAGTTGACGGTACTCTGGTGTGTTGGTCTGGAGTGAGGAGGAAGATTGGGGGGTTGTTGGTAGAGGGGGACTAGTGAGAGGGCTAGCAGGAGGCCAGGGAGGTTTGCCTTGGAGACAGAGACATGAGAATGTTAGGAGACAGATATGGGGAGAGGATAAAACCAAGGATAGAGAGGGTGATGGTGATTGGAAGAAATGGTAGTAGATGAAGGGGTAGATTGTGGCTGAAGAGTTGGGTTGTGGGTTAAGGGGTTGGTGGTGGTTGAAGGGGATGGTGTGGATTGAGGGACAGGTGATAGATGATGGGGCTGGTATGGGTGAGGGGAGCGGGAGGGAGGAGGTACATGACACTTTCTCCAGCGGGAGGACCTTGACTCATGACCCGACCCTCCAAGGGCCCCTCGACTAGCAACGGTTGTCGGTGGGTTTGCTCGCCCGCACTGACTGACGTCCTTGTGGCGATACGTCTCACACTGGTTACCACTCATTCTGTTTTTCTTATGTACCTTATTTATTCATTCCTCTTTTATGATTTATTTCTACCGGGTTATATTACAGCTTCAATACATTTTACACCACGCGAAGATTAGGCACCTCAGCTTATTTCACCTGGTGATTGGATACCCTAACGTTACCTGCGGGGTTAATTTAGGTTAAGAACATTACGTGTGATCTTTTGCAGTTTTGTTTGGTGGGTAAAATTGCATAATACCCTTTGCTAATATGGCTGGTGCTCTATTATACCGAATCTCCATCTTCTCTGATGGCCTTGAGGAGGACAAATTGCAGGAAAAATATAGGTTAGGATAATATACAAACTATTAGGGAGAGTGTCTACAGTTACATGAACGCTGAAGACTGTGGGGGACTGACGACAAGGATCTTGTTATCATCAATAATTCATTCTTAAATTATTTTGTGTGTGTGCCATTGTGGCGGTAGCAGGATAATGTAGTAACTGTGTACACATTATTAATGGTATGTTTGTGTCCAGACATCAGTACTAAGACACCTTATTATGTGTCGGTGCACGAATGTTTGGTTGTAGTAAGGATGGTTGTCTTCGTGGGAGACGTGTAAGAAAATATCCTCATTAACTCCAGCACCAGAGTCCTCCTGAGACACTGCTGCTACTGTACTTGGCCTTTGACATTATTTGACAATGATGACTTCAGTGTCGTAACCCCGTGGCGTCATTACCTCAGTAATTACGTCCAATGTCAACAATGCAGTAGTTCTCCGTTTGTTTATTTGGAAGTTCCGCTCATTTTAGATCACGTTCGGTTGTGTTTCGTTGGAATTTACTAGTTTACTACCTCATTATCTGTGGGTTTAGATGCACATATGACAAAGGCCAAGATATAATAATTAGGAATTTTTCTCGTTAATAATCTCCAATTACATGAGTTTCAAGTGTATTAAGCTGCACCTTGGCGGCGTGTACACAGTGTGGGGGTCACCTGGAGGAGTGGATTGTCCGTCTCGTGAATAGGATTTTATTTTAAGGTAGAGTAGTTACCTCTTACCTCTCCCCCTTGGGTAGTGAGACATAATTGACTCAGACCTCCACACCATGAGTAGGACATAAACCTCCTTCCTGGGAAATAATAATGAGACTAGTACAAGACTTTAATTAAGATGAATTCCTTCAAGATGTTCCCATTAATTGTGATTCTATCTTTTCTTGCTCACTTTTTATTCTTCTCTCTCAGTTACCTCTGCATCTTGTTTTTCATTATTTTTATCGTTTTTTATTTAGCAAATCTTCCTTGTTATGACAATTACTTCCCAGTCAGCAGGTACTTGTATTGTCGTGTTTAATATACCGTACAGTCACTTTCCTGGGTGTTGTCAGCGTCACTGGTGTTCGTGTGTGATATTACTTAACCTTTACGGAGCTATTATTCCTCACATGTGTCAGGCCCTGCAGCTCTGGCTCACCCACAAGCTCCGTAGAACCCAGGGGCCCACCCAGCAGGGGGCTGTAAGCCCTCCCCCAGATTTTTTTTAAATCTGACCAATATCATGGGCATTTTGAGGCCATTTACTAAAGTCAAGTGCACTTGATATTTAGAGATATTGAGGTCATTAGTAATTACTCTTTACTATACAAAATTTCTGATAAAAAGGAGGTCCGGAACCCCCCAGAACTCTCCCCCTGAATCCGCCCCTGGAACCAAGGTATAAAGAATCATTGTAACCTTGCGTAGAACATCCTGCTTGAGACAACTGGGCTTGGGCGAAGAAATTACATATTGTAAATATTGACAGGATCAGTTATGCGAGTGTTTTCGGTAGAGTTTATAGGTAAAGTAAACCACCAGAAGTGTTCTTATATACTAGAATTATGGATCCCGTGAAGATTAGACACCCCGACATATTTCACCTTAAAAGTAACAACCCGACGCTAATGTTAACCTAAGGAAAAAACCCCAGATAGCGTTAGTGTGTTTAATCATCAAAAGAAATAAACTGGGGGGCTCTTCTTCACGTGATGCAATATAGTTATTGTCTTCAAATTTATTTCCTCTTCTCATTACACACTCCCTTATATAAACACCGACGGGATCTTCAAACTGTGCAACATTACCTCCTCCACCTGCCCAAATTGACCCAGTCCTGTGGCGTTGTATGGTGACCTGACCTGACCTGGCTTACACGGGTGATCAATGCTACTGTGACTACTAGCCTAATGCACACCAGGTCACTATGTACTCCTTCCTTCCCTCCCTCCCTCTCCTTCTGCCACCACTAACCTCGAGTGTGGTGCAGCAGTGATGTAACACATCACTTGCGGCAATTACGACTTCTGCAGTTCACTGTTGAAACATATATTTTTCCAGATTAACCCAACCCGAACTGATTATTGTAATATCTTAACGTTTCGGTAAATTTCAGAGCAATATTGTATATAGTTATTATTCACAGCCGTAAGTCAGAGAGCTGTAACTGTCGCAGCCTTGGTCAAATATACTGGAGCGGCGTCTCACACTCTCCTACATTAATTCGTCTTTGTTAACTGGGTTGAAGAAAATACATATAGTTAAGGTCTTGATGATATATACCACCAACCGTTGTGTGCTATTTAAAGATTAGTAGGGTCATTACCTAATACCTGACCATTGTGGACCTGGTCTCACCCTCCTCTGTATATATACACCTTGGTTTGTATTTCTCTCTCTAGTCTGTGCTCACCCCTGAAGATGTGAATTACACGAAAGCGCTTGGGAACTTCGTGTTTTCTTCTTTCCTTGTGGTTATCAGCATATACCTAGATCTACAGTGATGATATATATATATATATATATATATATATATATATATATATATA